ATATATATTCATATCTGATCGATTTAGTCGATGAAGTTCTACGTATGTCTCGATTGTATAAAATAACACTGCAGTTGTTAACATAAACGCCGGACACTTTGACATAATTTGAGACATCATTAGAAACACTTTATTGGTAAGTCTCATACAGACAGAAACATAAATGAACTCAAATATATTCTCAAATACAAAACCCACCTCTTTGGCCTTAATAAAGATCTCGGCATCATTAGCGATTACACATTCAGCCACCACTAACATCATTTTTCGGTTACCGTTTTTACCCTTTCTTTTTGATCACCACTTATTATATTATTACATTATTTTACACATGTTGTTTATTTTTGTCATACCCCGACTAATGTTTGATTTTCATTGTTATTTTTGGGTTTTTGCTTTCGATCACTCATACCTATTTGCGATTTAGACCTTGACATACTTTTATTGATTTATGTATTTTTGCCTATCTTTTTATTTAATTAATTTATCACATTCACATGTATTTTTATCTTGACTGGTTTTATTATAAAGTGTAGTTTATCTATTTCCTATCTTCCTGATGTAGCTATGCCACACTCATTTTCATTATACTTTTTCATAATATAGATTCATTTTGACTATTATATTTATTTAACTCGCCATAGACATTATACTTTAATTGAATGTAGGTAAGAATGGCCCCGGAAAAAATGGCCCCAGAAAAAATGGCCCCGGAAAAAATGGCCCCAGAAAAAATGGCCCCGGTAAAAATGACAGGTAGGTAGAAATGGCCCCAATGAAAAATTTGGTAATAGAAATGATATATATTTTTTTTAATCTTCAAATATTTAAATACTGTATAAGCAAGAATTGAATCAAGAAATAAAAAATGGCCCTCAATTATAAAATTAAAGAAAAAACAAAATAACAAATGTTGTAAAATACCTTGTAGCAAAAATTTAATTAATAAATCAACATAAAGAATATGCATATTTGAGAACTAAAATAAATTAGTTTTTAGCTCCTATGAGTAGCTCTGGGAGTAGGTCTAAGTATTTTTTTTAATTATTACTATATTTGCGGCAAATTATTATTATTATTATTATTATTAATGGCTCTGATGGGAGGCTCTAAAACATTGATTCAGCACCAGTTTTGAACGACGAACTTGCAGGGAATGTTATAAACCATTTTCGCGAAATTTGGAATAAAAATTTCCAATAACGTGGCGAATACCAACGATGGAGACTTTCACAGGCCTGGCA